ACCGGTTCACGGTTGAACCGGTGGCACCGGCTGGTCCGGTCCGGTTTTCAAAACCATGATTATGACAAATATTGACGCACCTAATTTAACCCTAATATTTAAGAAATATCTTGGCTTGGTTAAATTCTCTAACTTTAATTTATTGTAGCTATGTTATTTTAAGCTCTTCATTTCTTTCAATTCTTACTAATCATTATAATTTGTCAACAAATAGTAATGGTGATGATACTCTCCTTGAAGCCAATTGCTTTATAAATAAATATGCATGCTCTCTTTGTGTATAAGAATCATTTAAGCAAATCCGCAGATTCAAGCTCTTGAAGATTGCCTCAATCTATAATTATATATCAATTTAAAGTATTTTTTTCTTACAAACTGAAATATATTTTTAGGATTTATCATTTTTATAGTTAGGAAAAAACTTAACATTGCCAAAGTTAAAGCGGTCTTAGATTGGCCAATGCCTAAAAGTTTCATTGATGTTAGACATTTCCATGGATTAACCAATTTATAGAGATGATTCATCAAAGATTTTTTTTACAATTATAGCTCCAATTTTTCTTTTCCAGAAGTCTTTGCTAGAAATCAACTCTGTAAGAGACTATTTAGTTACCTTCTCTTTAAAGAGATTTAAGAAACTTCAGGAATTCTCTTGGGAGCTCTATTTCTCATTGTCGATCTCGTGGATGCTATGATTCAATTTTTGTTTTCTAGAAGTCATGGCTATAAATCAACTCTATAAGAGACTATTTCGTTACCCTCTCTTTTACGAGATTTAAGAGACTTCGGGAATTCTCTTATGAACTCATTTCTCATTGTCGGTCCCGTGGATGCTATGATCTAATTTTCTTTTCCATAAGTCATTGCTAGAAATCAACTTTATAAGAGACTATTTCGTTACCCCCCCTCTCCGTGACAAATAATTCTCAGCGAAATATATAAGCATCATCATATCATGAGATGATTTTGCTCAAATTATATCAGCTTAAGTAGTAGTTGAAGAGACTATATAACAAAAAGATATAGTAATAATCAAATAATCCATAGTAACTCAACCATTAATAAATTTATTTAGCTAATTTATTTCTTTTTCATATTTGAATGATATATTTAGTTATAGTTTTTAAATTCAACTTTTATTTAATTAGTTCATATTTAATATCATTTGAGTTTTATAGTTTCTTTTATACAATTATATAATTTAATTAATTTCTATTTCATTTTTTATGGTTGAGCTACTCCATTTTCTTCATTCTTCACAATTAGATGTTTCTATTAATTTTTTAACGTTAGCCATTAAGCTCTACATTAAGAATCACAAGTATTACAATTGTGAATATTTTCTTAACTTTATTAATATGAGGTATTGATTTATAAGTATTTCATATTCATTTTATTTTTGCTTTGTGTTTTGAACTTATTATATTAACATAATGTTAAATTATTATATTTGTAATGGAATTTTGAGGCATCATATGAAATATAGCTTAATTGTTATTAAGACATTATTTAAATCTATTAAAAAGAATTTTTAGTTTCTTGCCAAATTGTAAAAAAATAAATTATATATTGTAAAATATAATTTCATTTGAGTAAATTGTAAATTGTGTTTTGTCTTGGAGAACCATTTTGGTTGTAAAAAAAAAAAATATGGCCTTCCATAAACCATCATTTCTAGATGTAAAGTTAAATTTATTTTGCACTTTTAGAAGACTTTTTGAAAATTATTTGGCTCTAAATTAAAATTCTCATTTGCTTTTGATTTCCAAATTGATGGACAACCTAAAGTAGAAAATAAAACATTAGGAAACTTTCTTTGATGACTGATTGATGTAACCAATATCTCATCTTATGCATTTTTTAATTATATAATCACACTTGCCAAGAACTTTTGAAGCCTACATGATACTAGGGGTGTCAATTTTTTACTTGACCCGAATCCAACCCGAAAAAATCCGGGTTCGGGTCAACCCGAACCCGAAACGGGTCGGATTTAGGTTCAACAAATCAACCCGTTTTAAAAATCGAGTCGGATTCGGGTTGATCCAGCAACTCGAAATTGACACGAAAACTCATATTTGACCCTAAACCCGAGATTGGCCCGTTTTTGACCCAAAAATTAAAGATTGCCCGATTTTTTACCCGAAAACTAGCAATTTTGGATCAACTCCGGGTCATTCGTGTTGGGTCGGGTTGACCCGGACCCGAATCAGGTCGGGTTCGTGTCCGAAAACCTGACCCATTTTTTAAAAATGGGTCGGGTTCGGTTTGACCTGAATAATGCTGGGTCAGTTCCGGATTCGACCCGAACCCGACCCGTTGACCCGAATTGACACTCCTACATGATACCATAAAATAGTAAATTTCTATAAGTAATGATAAATATTCTAATAGTAAATAAAAAATTTAAAAATAATGCTTTCACCTTGATTTGCTTGTTGATATACTTCCATCCCTTTATTAATATTGAAGATATTTTTTTTTCAAACGAGCGAGTTAAAAAATCTCCACTTATTAAGTCTAACTCTTAAATTTTAACCATACAAAATATAAGGGAGGTATTTCACCTTCACCTAAGAACTTATATGGCCATCTATGACAGATTTGATTTGGATGAAGCATTGAAAATAGTTGGTTGGAAGTCTTTATCATTAAAGTCAACCCCTTTTTTTCCTCTACTTTTTTTTCATCCAAGTGGTTTTCCAAAAGTCTTATAATGCCTATAAATTTAAACCAAAATGCTTTATAATTATCTAACCAAACTTCTTAATGAAATTTAAATGATATTATTTATGATCATGAATGAATCGAATACCGAACTATTTAAACTTGTTCATTTATTAATAGAATATTCAAAATTGTTTGATTAGTTAATTAAACGATCATAAATGAGTCCTAAGCCGAGCCATAAGTAGTTTATTAAGTTTTTTGATCCATTTGCAGCCATATATGATGCTGAGGTGGCATGTGCGACAGCTGTAATGGTGAGGTGGGTAGTACGAGTCAAATATTTTTCTTTATTTTTTAAGATGAAAAAGGTTTTGTTTAGGACAATTTTTTTATTGTTTTCTGAAACAGTTTTTTAGTACAATTTTTTTTTTTTTGAATTAAAAAAGTTTGTACTAAAAAATTGTCCAAAAAAAACAGTAAGAAAGCTATCCCAAACCAAGCTAAAAGACTAAAATTCTTTCTTTTGCTTTGAGATTACTAAATTTAAAATTTGATTGATTTTTAAAAATTTATTCTCATCTTATAATAAGTTTAATAAATTTTAAACCCAATATGATTGAAATTTGTTATCTCAAATCTTCTCCATTCTCAAATGTCACAACTTAGATATAATTTTTTATTTCAAATTGATAAAGTTAAGTAATCCTTTTCCTAACAAACCAAACTGACGCCAGATTTCATTCTACCGCCCGCCCCTGTTTCTTGACTGCGTAGCAATTTGAACGTTCCACGCTGTAGCTATCTCCATCCCTCCCATCTCTGTCTTGATCCTTCGTCTTCACCGGAACCAGAGCATCTTTTGTATATCTAATTGGTATTCTCTGTCAACCCTTATCGGTCTTTTCGGGTTCCTCTTTGCTACTAAGAACCTCAGCTCTTAAGCTCTCCTGCCACCCCTGTTTTGCTCTTCCACTTCATCTTTTGCTTATATCCTCATGGTGAGAGCTTCAATCTTTTTTTTTTTGTTATTTTCCTTATGGATTTTTCGCTTTGGAATTATGAGATGTAGGTTTCATCTTCTGCGCTTCCATTTTTTCGTTTTCTCTTTCTTCTAGGTTTATATTGATAAATCCATGGATATGAATATGTTAGGATGAAAAATAGCGACGAACGAAATAAACGAAGACAAGAAACGAATTAGAACAATAAGACAGATAAAAGCTTGCACAAATTTTATGTTAACTATCGTTCCACCTAAGTCCATAGTTGCGGATATCAGATAATTGTTAAGGATTAAAAGACGTTCATAAGAAGTTAGATCATATGCGAAGTTGAACATAAAGATAGATTTGTCAGGAATTTAGAGAGAACACAACCACCTGTTATGTAGATGATGAGTTTGATGTGGAGAAGAAAACACTTTTGCTATTACGACTAATCTCTTCATTTATTTGCTACAGAAGTCCAAATGAGAGTATTCCCTATTATAACCAAAAGCTTTTCCTCTAATTGGAATAAAAAATAACTAGGCCCGCCATTTCCCTTTGAAGAAGTTGAAGACTTCTCCTTCAAGCACCCAAAAAATTCCTCTTTTATCTCACAAACCACCCTCGCTTATCTTTCTCTCTTCTTCTTATTTGCTTGTTGGTGCAGGATACTAAATTATTTCAAAGCTTTATTTATAGCTTATAAGAAATGAATTTGAAAGTATAGAATCAATTTTGAAATCCCACGGGATTCTACAATGTCTTTTAAAATTAAAAGATCTTATAGCTCATCTTATAGCTCACAAAGAAGATTTTTTCATATCTTAATCAATCCGATATTTGTAATAAATTTGAGATCTCAGTCATATATTGTAGAGATTTGATTAGCAGAATAGAGCATTCAGGATGTCAACTTTTGGTAAAAGTACTTTAGTTGAAAGTAATTATGTAATAAACTAAATGAAACTTTTTATTATTGTATCTTCCTGCAAATTGTAATGTAATGGTATTTTAATTTGTTGTTTATATCATTTTTGGCAGGTTCCTAAACTTAAAGGCTCCACAAACAAGAGATCTTGTGCTTGGACTGCTTTAGTTGCAATAATTTTCTTATGTGTAATGCTTCTCTTTGTGAAAGATTTTTCTTTTATATGCAATGTGTGAATTATAGATATGTGGTGGTATTATATTTTTGTATGATGAGTAGAATTGAAGAGATGCCTGTCTCCTTTTTAAGATTTAGTTGGAACATCTATACCTCCTATTTACATAAATTTTGTTGAATACTTTCCTTTCTATTTCCTTGGTTGACCTTTAATATCTTATTTTTGGAGAGAATGAACGTTCTTCCTTTCTTGCTTTGACTTAAGATAATAAAATTTATTCTTCTTTGCTTCACTGAATGGATAGTATATTCAAATAACTGCGGTGCTTCTAATTTTTGAATATCTATCTATACATCTTTGTAGAAAACATTCAAGTCGGTGCTTTCCATTTCAGATCAGACCACAGAATCCAAATTCTGTCAGGTATCCTTCCACAAAGCGTAGTTTTATTATAAACCTTATATTTTTGTTATTCTTTAAGTTTATTCTACCTCTGGTACCTTGGTGTTTGCTATATCTATTGTGATTAGCTTATTTTTCTGATGATTTAACATGATATGATTGAAACTCATCCTAATTTTTAAAGACTGGTCTGATTGGAAGGTATTTTGCACTTTCTATCCATCATGTTGTTTGTAATTGTGATCCTTCCAATTTATTTGCTATGGATTTTGTTATTCTAGAATCAATCAAAGCCTTTAGCATGCGAGTCATTACCACAAGGAATTATAATCAGCACAACAAATTTGGAAATGCAACACCTGTGGAAATTTGCACTTCCCCAAAAGAAAAAGGTTAGTGTAAAGGGTATTAACGATGAGAATTTTTTGACTTAGTCAACACTTAACCTTTAGTGATTAAGATATCACAACAATAATCCAATATTTGGTTTTCTGAATTATTTTCTGATTTGGTAATTACTTGTGATAACTCATCTGTTGAAGCAATAGTCATCATATAATTATCTTCATAATGAGTTCGGTTGATTCATTATTCTTGAGAAACATCACGACTATTTCTCTTAATAAATCAATGAGTTATATTTACACCAATAAAAAATATTTCAACGCAAAGAGCTATTTTACGGAAGATAATAAAGAAAAAAAGTACTTGGAAAATAGTGGCTATTTTTATCTTAATGTACCACTTCATAAAACTTTCATCATCTTGAAAATCTGATCTTACATTGTTATGATCTATCTTTAAGTTTATACTTAATTATTTTTTTGGCATTACGATCCTTTTATAGTTCATGCTGTATTCAGGTAAATAATGATCCACCAAAGACTTTGTTGGCCATGGCAGTTGGAATAAAGCAAAAGAAAATAGTGAACAAAATAGTCAAGAAGGTATATTGTATAATTTTCTATTGGCATGTTCTTTTTCTTATGAACTCTTATTTTTATAATCTTTGTGATTCTATGTTTCAGTTCTTGTCCATTGATTCCACTGTGATGCTTTTTCATTATGATGGTTTTGTAAACGGATGGAGAGACTTGAAATGGATTGACAGGGTATTGCATATCTCTACAGCCAACCAAACAAAATGGTATTTCATATTGTGCTATGCAGACAGTCATTCTAGAATCAATATGTATATAGAAAATTTTTAGCCATTTTACATGTTTAATACTCTCTTTTATGGTTTAGGTGGTTTGCCAAGCGTTTCCTACACCCTGATGTAGTTTCAGAGTATGATTACATTTTCCTTTGGGGTGAAGACCTCAGAGTGGATTATTTCAATCCTAAACGGTATATGCCCGCTTCAGTTATTCCTTTGAAGTGTTTGAATTTGAAAGTTGGATATTAGTTGTTTTGTTAATTTAGTAGTCTGTGATCTGAAAATCTTAGCAGTCTCGTTGATGATCAAGACGAACAAGAATATTCTAAGTAAAATACATGAATGTTTTTTTTTTTAATTGACATAAAAATTGTTTCAAACTGCAGTTACTTATCCATTGTTGAAAGCGAAAGGCTAGAAATATCCCAACCTGAGTTGGATTTAAGCAAATCTGAGATGCATCATCGAAATACCGTGCGTACAAGGAATTGGAACTTTAACAGGTATTTTCTCCCTTAAACTTATTTTGGGTTATTGTAAGATAGACCGTTTTGCATTTTTATTTGTTTGAGTAATGCTATACTACCAAAAGAAGCTTCTTCCATTTCCTTGTTAGATTTGTGATTAAGAAGCTTCTTCCATTTCCTTAATTGCTTGACTTTCTCCTAACTAAAGAAGAAAAGAAAAAAACAATGTTATTTTTTTTTTTTGTGTTTTGAATCTTCTTTTCTTTCCAATTGTTCTCATCTTCATATAGAACTATAATGTGAAATATAATGTGTATGCCTTCCATTTACCATCTATTTTATCTGCTGTTATATTTAGCTATATTTGTGATATGATTTTACTATTTAGAAAGTGAGGATCTACTGATGAATATTAAATTTCATGTTTTTTATAGGTGGCTAGAAATGAGGGCTCCTGTCTTTTCAAAGTCAGCCTGGCGTTGTTCTTGGCATTTGATTCAGGCATGTCAGTTGTTTCCAGTACTACGCACAAATTATTTTTGTTTGTTTTCTTTATATACAAAACTATAATAATGGATGTGCATACATTTGTATATGAGACCATATATGCTCTCTATATGCGACTTTGCATTCTCAAAATGCTAAAAGATGGAGAATCCTTAAAATTTCTTCCTGTTTTTCTTCTCCTTTTGTAGAATGATTTAATTCTTGCATTGGGAGTGGATTTTAAGCTCGGAAATTGTGCTCAGGTAATTAATTTATATGTGTTTTAATCTTATGTTTTATTAAATCGTGGCAAGGCAATAACCTGAGTTCTTCTGTTAGGGAGATATAACAAAAAATGTTGGCATAGTGGATAAGAAATATATTGTTCATAGAAGAATCCCCACTTCTGGTGGTTTTGGTGGTTCTGGTGTTAACAAGGTTAGCCATTTACTATACTCTAATTTTCCAGAAATTAGTTTGTGAATTTATAAGAGTTTTCTATTAAGGTAAGGTTCATCTTAGTCAAAGAAATCTAAGATGTCATTCGTAGGTAAAGTTGTATTGCTGCCTTGTTCAAATTTGTTCATTTACTTAAGAGCTTGAGCCATGCTTGACAAGGCTAGAAATGAACCAAACCGGTCAAGTACTACCTTGTTCAAAGTTATTCATTTATTTTCTTATCAAGCTTGTGCCAATCTAGCTTGAACATTACCCAAATTTTAAATTCTTGTTCAAGCTTTTTTATTAATTGTCTTAATCTCTTAAAGCTATAAATGAGCTTTGATTGAGCCTAACTAAGCATATACAAAATCCAAATTATCTAAATATATCGCAGTATAGTATCAATAAATACATTCATAATTTTTTATCAACAGTTACAATCATTCTCTAAAAATTATTTCTAATATTAGATTAGTTGGAAATTTTGATTTTTAATCTGTCTTTCTAGCTAATTGTTGAATATGTTCATCACCAAATGTTTGTTAAAAAATCAAAATAAAGTGTTTTTACCAATCAATATGGTGTTTATTTAATATTTTTATTGTCAAATGTTAATTAGCAATAGAATTAGCTTTTTTAGTCTATCTTGCTATTTAATCAATATTTTCATCATGTTCTTCTAGAAAATAAGTAACTTTTAAAGTGTACATGATATAGAAAAATTGATATAAAAAATATAGAATAAGTTATCGAACAAACAACAATGTCATTATTAAATAAGTATTTAATTAATTTTTAGCAAGCTGTTTGTTAAATAACAAATAAATACATTTGTGAACATAAATGGATGATCAAACATATTTATTTATATACCGAGCTTTAGAAATTTATTTAATTATCTAAATAAACAAACATAAGGGAGTTTAACATAAGCGAGTACTAATGAATGTATTAGTTCAATGATAACTCTATTGGTAGGCATTTCTCTTTCCAGTATCAAGTAGGTAGACTAACTAAATATATGTTTATTTGCAGGCTCCCCATTGCTGATTGAGCTCATGTAAGTACTGAAACCATCTGCTATAGATTACATACAACTTGCTGTTAATAGTAGGCTAAAGTTATAATTAATTCAATTTGTATTCTATAATGATTTCCTATTTATATTCTTTAGCAGTCCTGTTTGCATGAATTAATCACCCCAAGCTAATATTTGTATGTATAAACCTTTGGTATCAGCTGTGTATACCAAAAGGTGGAAAGGGCAGTGAATAGTTTCAACTTAAGCGTCATTTGGGATGGCTTTTTTATTGCTTCTTAATGCAGCTTTTTAATAAAAAAATTTTAATTTTATTATTAAAAAGCTGCTTTACAAAGCAGTAAGAAAGCGGCCCCAAGCAAAACCTTAAGTGGGGGCGAAAATCTAGAAATCACTTGAGTTGTTCAAGAGAAAGTTTTGATGTCTTTATTTACACCAGCAAATGTTAATATGAGTCAGATATATTTATTGTTCCAGAAAGGCTGATTATAGTGTTGTCCTGACATCATTGCAGGGGCAGAACCCTTAAGTGCCCGGGGGGCGGCAATTGCTCCCTCTAAAAAAATAAAAAAATTATTTAATACATGTATTTTTAGGTAATTTGTCCCCCTCCAATTTTTTTTTACTCTTTATTATAGAAATATTTAGGCACTTATAAATTTTCCCCTCCTAAAAATTAAGGCTGGTTCCGCCCCTGCATCATTTATCTGACTGCTACTTGCTAACTCTCTTATTCTTTTTGTCATTCAAGTAAATTTTTTTTTAAGAAAATTAATTTATGCAGGTGAGCCTGCGTTCATACACTGAACTCCTACCTTTCAAAAGAGGCCAAATAGCAACAAGCAAGGATATTTGTGAAAAGATCAATATGCAAAGTCTACAGGAAAAGTAATACATTTATCTTTTACCCTCCCTTAATAGGTTGAGATAGTCTAAAATTACACAAGAACATATAAATGCAAGTATTTTTTCCCTGATTATAGATAAAAAGAAAACGGTAATACAAAATAGAATTTACCCAAGAAAACAAGTTGTGACAATCTCCTGATATAGATGCTGTTAGAAGCAGCTTATAATCAGAGATCTAATAAAAAGTTCCTCTTGATTGCATCTGTGTCAAGAGCTCCTGACACAACTTTTTTCATTTTACATGGTGTGTAAATAGAAAGGAAGAGAGAAATATGACATTTGTCATTGCATGATACTTGGATGTATTTTTTTAGGGCATTGTGTATTCATAGAGGTTATACGAGTTATCGTTGTACGTGGGAGTAGTATTGGGCTTCGTTTGGAATGACTTTTTTACTTTTCGCTAAAGCAGGTTCTTAATACAAAAATTTCAAGTTAAAAAAAAATTTTGTACTAAAAAGCTGCTTTAGAAAACAATAGAAAAATTGCCGCCAAACAAAACCTTATAGGTCCACAGTTTTGTAAATTTATTCAGATTGAAAATAAGGAACTACTTTTCTTATTTGCATTCTTTCCAAGTAATATTAAGTGAATTATTATTGATAATTGAGAGTGTTATTTGATACTTTTATTTGTTCAAATTAATTTTATGAGAATATGATCTCTAGATTGAAAATAAGGAACCATTTATATTCATCAACCATTTGGATAAGTTTTATGAGTCATTATTTTTTTCTTTTTTGGTTAAAACCTGCGGAGGAGGCTACACGTTGATTAGAAGGGGAATTAAAAGTCCTTAAAGATCCATAAGCTCAGCTAAAAATAGAACCTTTAAAGCAAAACCTAGGAGCTACTGGATCTACTAATTACAATTAAGCCATAAAAATAATAAAAAACCAAAGCCAACCCAAGGACCGAATCAACCAAAGGGGCAACAACTAGCATCTAACAAATCCAAGAAGATCCACAGCCAGCAGGAAAACCTCCTGTAAAAAACAAAGAACAAAAATAGACAAAAGCAGAAAAAGCCCATAACTATATTACCAAAGGCCACCAACCGAACATGTAGCCACACTTGAGGAATGGCCGAGAGATAAAAAAGTAGAGAGCACCCAATTACTATTCATTTTTTGATTTCAACTTTCGACGTTTACCACCACCATGAGAAATATCTTTATGAACAATTCGATTCACATTTAGACTGTACATCTCATCAAATTAAACACACAAGCTTCAGGATTTAAAGCTTCTGAAATACCCTCATTATTAACACACGAGGAAACCATAGGACAATTAGAAACCAAAGGAGGATATCCCACCACAACAGGATCCACATGAGCTCCTGAACTAACAATCTCTGAATCCTTAGCCAAAATACCATCATCAGCAACAGCAGCTTCAACAACAACATTATAAGGGTCACCAGAATCCACAATCAATGGAACATCAATCTCATGCACCGTCACCCCAAAACCATTAACATGACCAGAAACACCCACATTATACCCATTAACCTGCTCATCATTAAAAGAGGAGATAATAACTTGATTATTAGTTTCATGCGCGGTTCGGGATTGCGGAAGGATGGAGCCAGAGATTTGGGTTTATCGGGTCAATTTTAGGTCAATTTTGGGTTACTGGGTTGACCGGACCCCCACTCATTTTTTAAACGGGTTGAAAAATAAAACCCAAACATGACCCGTTTGTTAAATGGGTTATTGGGTCATGTCAATAATTAACACCTTATTTAGGAAAGGTTAGATTATTTAAATTTGAAATTAATTGAACGAGAAGATTGAATTGAATGAGGTTTGAGGCGGACAATATTAATTTGCTTTGAATTGGTTTAGGATGAGTTAATTTGGGCTATGCAACGCTACCATCGCTAAATTGAACTTGAATCGAGTCGATTTAACTTGATAGCGCGTTGATTTGCGTCGATGTGTTTCAAGATAAGCTGGTTTAATTTGAGTTGAAATTGGGTAATTTTGATTGGATTGATGTTGATTTGATCAAATTAGGTTTGATTAATGTCAAATTGGATGAATTTAATTTTGAATTGACTTCAAATGGCACGAATTGATATCCAATTAACTCCAATTAGTCAGAGACAGATTATGTAACGTCTATCGATCCTGCGGAGTTTAAATTGAACTCGAATCAAGCCCAAACAACTCAACGACATTCAATTACAATATTACGCTCGGAATTAAATTAGATTTGGGTCAAAATGGATTCGATTTGGATTGAATTACAAGGCCGAGAGCATCCACCTAAAGGAAATCCTACCAGTGGACTAGTCTATGCTAGGCTCTGAAAACCTATGCACTAAGGACGAGCTCGAGAAAATCAACCTTATACAATACCAGGATGAACAAATATATGTCAAAAATATAGTGAGGAGGAAAATGAAAGCTAAAGATCTGTAACCTCTCTCATTATACTACTTTTCTTATACAGCTCAGACTCCATAGTCCAATGCTCGTACTTTTATCGTTCTTATATTTTAACTAAATACCAAACCCATTGCTGACTGAGCTCATGTAAGTACTAAAATCACCGGCTATATATTACATACAACTTAGTGTTACTAGTAGGCTAAAGTTTAATTAATTCAATTTGTACTCTATAACCAAATCTTTTGGGTTTCAATTATTTTTTACTTTTGATTTCTTCATGAATATCATCACAATGATTTCTTATTTCATCTTGATAATTAACGATTACTTTTAGCCTTGAGATTAAAATAAGATTTCTTTTTTTTTTTTTATATAATAAGGAGACTAAATTGAAGTATCATAAAAAATTAGGACTAAATTGTGCATTTATAAATAATCAGAGAGAGAGAGGGAACTTTTCAAATTTCAATTTCAAAGGCATAAATTTCTAAACAAGGTACTTGTAAAAAACCATCCAACACTACAGATCTATGAATAAAAACACACCCTTTACTACACAAGATCCATTCCATACAGTCCTCCAACCACCCACAACACAACACAACACAGAGAACAAAAACATTGAATTCAAGCAAAACCATCAGACAAAAACTACAAACTTCTCCTCCATAAGGGGAAATTATTAGGTCCGGTCATCTGACAAAGAGATACATCCAGATTTATCTCTGTCTACAGTCAAAACGCAACTGCTACAGTAATTGCGCTTTACTGTAGATAGAGAGAAGAAATCCATATGTATTTCTCTGTCAGGTGACCAGACATAATAATTTGCCCTCCACCGCCACCGCCACCGCCACCGCCACCAACAATCAAAACTGACAATTCCAACCAGAAGCTAGAAGCTCAGATCATTACTTCCCTGTCGTAGATCCAACTGAACCGCATTTTCCCAGCTGGTTTAGACCTTGCCTGAGCCCTCTCATCTAGCCTTCGAATTCTCGGTACCAAGGTGCAGACAAAGTCTTGAGCTTTCTTACCTTCACTGGATAGCCCAGTGAGTTCTCCCACCTTCCACCTGCCCACAAGGAACTCCAGGATGTCCGCATAATCCTTGGCTGTGTATACCCCGAGCCTCTGTGCCACTGTAGAGAAGTGCTCGAAGAGATTATCATCGCGACCGTCAAACATGAGATGTGCGGGCATTGATATCTTCTTCTTCATCATGTCAGCAAAGGCAAGGACAGTCCCGTCAGGGTCTATCTCAAATAGCTTCTCAATGATCTTTGTATAGGCGGTCTCATGGCGTTTCTCATCAGAGGCAATAATGCCGCAAACCTGCGCCAGCTTTAGGTCCCCATGCTCCTTGGCAAGCCTAGCAGTGTTGCCATGGGAGATGAAAGTGGCTCGCTCCTGGAAGGAAGTGTAAATGAAACCAAGGTAGGGATTGTTTTCTGTTCTTGGATCCTGAGAAACCAGTAAAAAAATATGAAGAATTAGCAAGACAAATGAATCGATCAACTAAAGGAGCAACTAAATATAAAGTTAACATTATATATATATATATATAAAGTTAACATAAGGGCATCTCCAACCGAACTCCAAACGTCTAAATGGCGTCGCTCGCGAGCTCCAGCCGAACGGTAAAACATCCGCTATTTGGTTGCGGGTGAATAGGGGACGCCAATATTGGCGTTGCACTGTTCTTCTTTGCTATTTTTGTCTCTACCGAACTTGCCGAAAGAAACGTGCGAAAGAAGAAAAAGATCGTTACCTTCGCAAAAGGGGCAAAATGGAGTTTCATTGGAGATGAATCACAACATTTTTTAGTTTCATGGTATTTTGGAGTGAAAAATGATATTTTCAGTTGGAGATGGTCTAACCCCATAAAAACAAAAAGCTCTAGGAAACAAATCTTACCATTCCAGAGCCAATCAGATATTGAATTGTCCTCTCGATTTGTTTCATATCTACTCTTCCACTAAGGTACATGTATTTGTTGAGGAGGTCTCCATGTCGATTTTCTTCGGCAGTCCATGCCCGAGTCCAAATGGCCCAAGAAGTAGGGCTTGCACCTGTTTCATCTCGAACACCATCAAGGGTATTTAACATGGTTTGGTAAGTAGGAAGAGCTTCTTCTGTAATCATGTCTCCAACCAAGACAACAAAAAAATCATCAGGAAGTTCCTTTGAGCGTTCTCTTAATTCCTTAACTTCATCATGGAAGCTCTCAGCAGAAGGGTCCGGCAAAAAATCCTGTGGCTGCCAACACTTCTCCACAGGCTTCAGGTGTACCAGAATATTGTCTTTTGCCCAATCCTCCAAGGACTTGAAGATCTCAATCTTCTGGGCCGGCATGGAATGAGTGATTTGCTCATGTACCTCACGTGGGGGAGTGAAAGGCTTTTTTGGCATCAAAATCCTACTTCCATCACAGAAATATAAATAAATAAAGGTCATGAGCAAGCTATGTTGATTTAGGCTTTGTTTGGGACGATTTTCTTATTCTAGTACAACATTTTTTATTTTTTACTAAAAAGCTGCTTCAAGAAGCAATAAGAAAGCCGTCCCAAACGAAACCTTAAAAATAATAGCCATGGTAAGAACTGGATCCACAAGCACAAGAATTAAAGGTCATAATCATAATGCACATGCATAGAAATTATAATCTGGAAAAGATTAAAAAAAGTCATATAGTATTAACATCCAATTAATAGTAATTAAATAATTATAACAGACTGAAAAAATAAATAAATAAATAAAAAGAACCCAGGATAAAAGTGAATGCAAAAGCTCAACATAGAACCATTCTTGTATGAACTTCAATCTTCAAAGTAAACAAATATATGACATACAAGTTGTTCATTCTTTTGTCTACCCATATGTTCATGTTCATGGCCTTCTGGTTTGGAGAAGCAAGAAAGTAAGATAGAGGTTCACTCATTCATGAAAATGCCTCATATCTCAGTGTTGCCACATCAATCATCATACCACAACTGCAGATATTACTCCCAAACTTCTTATTTTAGTTCTAGCAGTTTAGCCTGAATATTGAGAATTTTGTTGAAGGCTATCAACATCTAAACAACCGAAGATAAAGCTAAAGGAAAATGCAAAGAAAAGATAGGAACCATGAAGATCATACTAAGGCTTCGTTTGGGATGGCTTTCTTACTGCTTCTTAAACAAGCTTTCTAGTACAAAATTTTTACTTAGATCATACTAAGTGAATAACTTCTTCAGTGAATCGGTTTTCCATATCAGTCATTGAGTGCTACATCTTCCTCACAAACAAGATTTTTCTTCCACAACAATTTGCAGCACTAATCTTGGGATGTAGATCATAGATGTCATCAAAATTAACTTGCAAGCAATTGTAGAAGTATAATGTAGTGCAGGAAATCCACTTACTGCTGCCTCACTACTAAAAAAAACAATCCATGCAATCAAAATGTATGCATAGGCAATTTTTTTTAATTTAACAATTCCTCTGTCTAATTACTAAGATAATTGGCAAACATCTGAACTAAACCTTGATATCCTATATTATAGGATTCATATACGACCAGCTTGATCAGGAAAACCAATTGGATCCAAAAATATTTATACAATCCCACAAATGCATGAGTGGCAAAGATATTGCATAGGAAATTTTTGTTAATTTTGTTATTTCTCTCCAGTGTAACTAAGAAAACAATGCTGGCAACTAAAGAGCCTAAATCTTGATAACCAAGGTGAACAGCACAATGACATGCCATTCACCTTCCATTGGTGGAGGCAAAGGATGCATTTTTTTGTATTACCAACAAAATTAAGGAAATGTGAAGAAGAAAAATAAGGAAGCTTAGGCAAATTGTGAGAAACCATCCAAAGCTGTAATAAGCTAACTTTTTGACATGGTTGAAACCTATCAACAGTGGACCAAATCAGTGTGTGATACAAAATCTTATACAACAACAGAGATATGCAAAGATTAGAAGATGCAGAAATAAATATATTAGACGCATATACATCAAAAAATCTATAATTGAAATGTGTTCCTATTTGAAGAGAAATTCAAGTTAGACAAAAGTATCCAATCCTGTATCTAATTATTCTTTTGAAATTTAATATCCTATACAGGCCATGTGACCTATCCATATCCAATACATTATCCAAGGAATAACCAAATATAAAAAATACATTTATATTTGGAAATATCAGTGCCTCCTAAGTCAAACCTAAAAGGTTGACAATTTGTTTTAAAAAAGTAGTAACTCGGCACATAATTTAGCCATAAATGTGAGAGGAAACAATACTATGTCAAGTTGATTAAGAAACTTACAGAAAACTTAAGCAAAGATAGAAATTTAGCTAATCTAAATGCATGTGTGCCTGCAAGGTCATAAAATAAAATAAATATAAAAAAATAAATAAATATAGATCAAAAGCTTTAAATGCTGGTAATCCATTATCCATGATCAGTGCTCAAGCTATCCATGTGCTATGCTCGATTAATTATTTTGTGCAGACACTGAACATCATTCGGAGACCAACCAGAACGCGCTATATCACCCTTGTGCCCGGTACCACGGCTCGGTACTACGCCGTACCGATCGATACCGCAGCTCGCTACGGCTGACGTGACGTATTCTGATTGGTCTTCGAACGATATTTTATGTCGGGTCTCCACATAGAATAATTATCGCTATGCTGAGAACCAAATCCGCACAAACTCAAGCCCAAACCTAAAGAAAGCAACGCCAAAATATCTTTTTTTTAAAAAAAAATTAGGTTAGAAATATTCCAACCTAATTTGATGTACCACTGTACTGTGCTAGAAAAAGGTAGCACAGGGCCACAAACAACCAAATTATATTTATAGCAACAATAAAAGGATAGTACAAAATCCGATGGTGGAATTTTGAAACTAAGGACAAGAATATTAAAACTCTTATCAATAATCACAAAACTAACACGTACATCAACCTCATCAACTGATACCAGTGGAAGAGCCATTTATTTCGGTCATAATTTTTGCAGATAAAAAGCAGAAAGAGCACCACATATCCTAATAACAACTAGTAAAAATATCACAGAAAATAAGTCCCAGATCAATAATTGAATATGACAGTCCCGTGAAATTGATCATTAATTTGGAGAAATATTGCAAAAAAAGGGATATCAGGACATTAATCCTCGATCTTTTTCAGGTGCATGTGAATCAATAAAATGAAAAATTATAAATCCAAAATTATTAAAATTACAAATGCAATTACAAGATGTAATGTCCACAAAGCTCCGTCACAGGAGGCAAGAGGGAATTTACACATAATAGAAAGGAATCCAAAACTCCATATCCACAAAAGTAGATCGAATCAGCTCATAAAGAAAAAAAAATTATGCAAATAAAATCTTACGGATAGGAAACTTTCTGCCCCGGTAAAAAAATGGAACTAAGAAAAAGCTCCCAATATGCAAATAAACAAAAGCAATGCGAATTCAATCCAATTAGGGACAAAAAACAAATCGGCAAAAGAACCAGAAACAGAGAAATATGCAGAAATTTCATGTAAAAAAAAAAAAAAAAAAAAAAAAAAAAACGAAGACCTTGATAATGACATTGCTAAGACAAGATAACAAAGGAATAAACGCATAAGCAGATTGCAGAAGCAAAAACACAGGCATTCTTACCTATAAACCAACAAAACTAATTCAAATCTAAATAGTTTCAACTTCCCAACATCCAACCCATATCAGAAAGAAAGACAAAACCCTGCTTCAATGATTGGGCAGGATAGCCCCACATCTGTGGCCCGATCTTAAACGGAGTAAAAGAGGTGAAGAATCTACCTGGATGAGGTGCCGACGGTGGAAGCCATGGAGACCTTTGGGTATCGAGCAGCCACCCTCCGCCCGCCGATGTCACGAGGCCGGGAGGCGCAGAGGTACGCATCCGGTCGAAAGGCCAATCTGCAAGCCATAATTCAAGCTGCTATATCTCCTTCAACCCTTTGCTTTCGCCTTCCTCTTACTCTCGATTTCTGGAGGTTTCAATTTCGCATTGGACGACAGAAATAGAGCTCAATCTCTCTATTTGAAGAGCAGAGGGACGTAATATTTTCTACAGAAATAGGAGAAGTGAACGGAGGAGAACCACGCTCACCAGCAACCACACCTTAAATGTGAAACTTCTATTAAAAGACGTAATTACACCATTGCCCTTGAATTGTTTTATTCGTTTTTTTTTTTTTTTACAAGTACAACCTTTGACAGCAATTATGTAATACAGCATGCAATGTATCAATTACTGGCCGACCAATTACTAAACCATTGAGAGTAGTCGTGTCAAAACAGTTGACAGGTTAAATCCTGATTCACTTGAAATTGATTCGACTCGAATCTTATTAAAGCTGAATCCGATGTGCTTAATAAATCGGTAAATTAGCCCTGGGAGGACTGCAAATGAATCAAACATTTGACAAGTTATTTGTGACTTTGCTCGATTAAAGCTTATTTGCGATGGTTCAATTAAGTAAGTAAATAAGTTTGAATATTTTTTGAATACTCGATGCTTAAATAAACAAATATGAATAATTATATGTTCAACTCATTTGAGTTCATGAACAATATTTTTTATAGCTTGTGAAAATGTTCGAAATGAAGCTCGATTATTATTACCTAATAAGTTATGATGTTGTCAAATTAAATTAAATAAATAGTTTTAATAATTATTATTATGTTAAATCAACTAATTTAATAGTTTATTGTCAAATTAAATTAACTAAATTAAATATTATTTAATTTGATTAAATAAATAGTTTAAATATTTATTGTTAAGTTAATTTAATAACAATGATATTACTAATTTTACAATTTTATTCAAACTATGCAATTTATAGTTTTCCCTTCGCTCCCCCTCCTGGAAAATATTTTTAAATTAATGGTTTTAAAAATAAATATTATTAAATAAATAATTTTCCTCGGTGGTATGCATTAGTACAACCAGTAAGAAATTTAGTCCCACACCGTTGAGGAGTAACTATAAATTTAATGAAATTAAAACTTGAAAGGTACTAAATTTAATTTTAAAATTTTCCAATTTAGACATTGCATTTGGATTCATACATTGATCATATAGTTTTTTTTTTTGAGACATCACTTTCCCAAACTTTTGGAGATTAAAATCTATATTTGGAACAATAAATTGTGTATTAATAATATGCAGTATAAAATTAAGGTTTAAACAATAATAATAATAATAATGTGTGACTCTTCCTTGGATGTCAATGCCGACCTCTCTTCGGAATGAACCAAATAAATTTCATTAAATCTTAATTTTTGCCTTCCCTTGAGTTAGCACATCAATTGAAGAAAAAAATTATTTAAAATATTTTTCTTAAACTCTCTCAATTTTCTCAAATTTCATTTTAAAGATTTTCTTAGGCTTTGAAAGTGCTAAATTGAGTTTGAAGTATTAAAAAGTGGTTTCGAGGACCAAAATAATGTTAGAAAAAGTTTGTATAGACTCAAAATTGATCTTAGAGACTCATTCATGGTAGGATTGGGTTGCTGGATGATCACTGCCAGCCACTAGTAGTCGCCAACATGCATAATGTTAGCATGAGAGGGCCCCTTATCACCATTTCTTTTTTTAATTAAATCATATTTTTATTTCAATTTCCTATTTTTAGTATTTTTATTTATTTTTTAAAATTTAATTTAACCCTTAAAGAGTACAAAAACATCAAAAAGTTTATAAAAATTAAAAATTAAAAATAAAACTTTAAAATTTACAAGAAAAAATTTGCAAGCCATCATCCACCTTACAATTGATAATTCTCTTCCATGAGAGAAGGGGAAAACTCAAACCTGATAATTTTCCTTTTGCATGCGCTGACTATTTCTCTTAAAAAATGTAAAATACTATTCTATATGATAATTAAATTGATAATTCTTGTTTTGTAGACTCTAGTATTGTTTTCAAAGAGGTTTGACGCTATGTAATCCTATATAAGAGGCAGTGTATTCCCCTTTAATAGACTCCAATGCTTCTCTACCAAGAATCATACTATCATATATTAGTGGAGTTAGGAGTGACAAAATTTTCATTTTTATTTTTATTAATTTTTGATACTTGAAATATACATTCCCTTTAGCTAGGTTTCGATCCTCGTCTTAAAATGGAGTTTTATGTTCATGTTTGAATGGATTAGATTTGAGATGGAATGATTTTTTAATGACAATTTCTTGCCACCATGAGAGTAGTTTTTGGAAACTCTTAATGACAATTTCTTGCCATTTTGATCAAAATCAACACTAAAAATCTTGCAATTTTTTTAATGTTTGATGCTATTTATTCATTAGAAAAGAACTTTTAAAAAAATCTATTAATTTGGTGAAACCCTAGGCCCCTAATATAATCAAATCTTATGTCATAGGTCTAAATCTAATGCTCAAATACAAATTTTAGACCCCCCGTTCAATTTAAGCCACATAATAATTATTGCTTATCCATATATATTTTTTTTATCTTTGCACATCTTATTTGTTGTTAGTGACATAAGAATTATTTATCTACTTTGCACAATGGAATATTGTGATAAGAAAAATATTTAAATTTATCAAATGTTCATTTCTCCTCCTCCCTGTAAACTAATAATTAGTATCAATGCCTTGACTCTATATTTGGTTTAACATTCTAGAGTTAAGATCCAACTATGATGCTCTCTTACTATATGTTATGGCTCTTCGTGTGATATTCCTCTTATGTTTGATAAAATTAATTTTGAAAGTTACATGTAAAATTTTTTATGGTATTGACTATAAGATGTGATCATTTATGTTAATTGGTTGATTTTATTCATGACTAATATTGAATTAAAATAAAGGAAAGAGAGTCATAAGTGAACACTAGTGATGAACACTAGCATTGGGGACAGATACTGGGACAACGAATGGATTGAGCTCAAACAACCACTCGAGCAGCTCAGCGAGCTCTTTTTTCCACTGTCGAGTCGAGCTCGAGCTTGATATTTGACAGTCGTATAGGCGGATCCCAGTTCACGTCATAGTCGGAAAATGTACACCCTAAAAAAATAAATTTAATGTATTAAATGGGTATTTTTCTAATCCAACCGGTATTTTTAGATGATATGTTTTAAATGCTTGAAAATATTTTGAAAAGTTTTTGAAACTTTTAAAGAAATGCAAGATATCAAAGTTCTGTAATATGACTATCAAAATTTATTTTGCTTCAAAAACTTTCAGCGACAAGGAAAGAAATTGAAACTAAATTTAAAAATGAAAACTTTACAAATGTTCAAATAATGATTACAAATGATGATGAAAAATGGATGGGAGCCTTTTACTTAAAGAAGTGTCACGTCTTTGTAATGTTTTTAAATTGAAGTTTCAAATATGGATTCTAAATTCAAGGCTCATGGACTTCAGTACGAAAAGGTGTTGAAATAACAAACATTTATTATTATCGAGTTGATTTCTTTTACGCTATTGTTGATATGCAACTTCAGGAACTGAATAACTAGTTCTCCGCAACTAATACATATTTACTTTCGAAAAGGTGTGACATGTCTAAATCCAAGTAATATATTCTCTACTTATAATAAGATGAATTTAATTCGTCTTGTAGAGTTGTATCCAACAGATTTCTCTATAGTTAATCTTGTGTTTTATGATCATCAGTTATCTACTTATATTACTAATATACGTACTAGTGATAAGTTTACATCTTTGACAAGCATTGCTTCTCTTGCAAAATAGATTGTAAAAGCAAAAAAAAAATATTATGTATCCCCTGGTTTATAGACTTATTATTTTGACACTGACTTTATCAATTCTTACTACTACAGTGAATAACACATTTTCTGCAATGAAGATTATTAAACATCGACTACATAACAAAATGGGTGATGTCTTGCTTAGTGACTGTCTATTGTCATACATTAAGAAGGAAATATTTGACTCTGTTTCGAATGAAATCATTATGCAACATTATCGGAAACTACAAAGTAGATTGCAAAGTTTGTAATTTTTTTTTATTTCATAAATTATAATGAAATACGAGTTCATGTTTTTTTTTTGGCTAATGAAATATATATGCGATTTTGGTTATTTACTTATTTATATATTTTGTTTGCCCACCCTAAAAAAATAAGATGGATCCGCCCCTGGATAGTCGAGCTCGACTCGAACGCCCTTGAGTCGAGCTCGAGCTCTACTCATTTGCACCCCTATGAAGGACCAATAAAGATAAGTCAATGACAATTTGAATGTATACAAAAGCAACATTGAATCATCTAAATATACTGAAGGCGTCATAGAATGTAATATATTTTATATCTTATCTAACCCCTCATCTAACTAATCTTAAATAATAAGCTTAATGTTCTACCAAATAAATGAATATGTTGTTTTAAAAAATAATTTTAAGCATCAATTAAAATTCATATTTTTGACATTTGGGTTGCTTTAACTTGCTTATTACCTATAGTTATTCATCAGTATGTTTGGCATAAATTAGCTATATTTGTAAGATTTCGTTTGGAATAAATATCTTACTATTTTTAAAAATAATTTTTTCATAACAAATTTTTAATTTAAAATTTTTTATATTGCAAAGTTATTTTAAAAAGCAGTAAAAAATTATTTTAAATAAAACATAGATAAAATTTCATTTGAGACTGTATTTTTACTGTTTCTTAAAATTATTTTTTAGTAAAAAAAAATATTTTTATATTGAAAAACTATTTTATGAATAAAAAAAAGCCAGTTCCAAATAAATCATTCGACTTGAAAATTTTCCCATCTGCTTTGCTTTCCAGTTTGGAATTATGAATTATTTTCCAGCTATATAATATTAGAATATAGATATAAATAAATAAATTAATTAATAAAAAGGCTCTATAAAAACAGCGGAAACCTAGAACCACCGTTAAGACCAGCCGTTGGAAGGGTAAATTTTGAGACTAAGCATGATTATAAATTTTATTAAGAGCTTAAGCATGTTTTAAAAAAAATTTAAAAATAGGCAAAGTCGCCCGTTAAACGGGCGACTTACGCTTTGACTAAAATAGTCAAGATCCGACGTGGTGATGATGTGGCGAGATCGAAGATCGTTTAACGGGCGATTTATAAGTCG